GCTGACCAGCAGACATCCTCTTTTAAACACACCGCTGTGTAAATTTTATCCTGGGAAGACTTAGATCCACCTTGTCCTCAACCCATAATCTCCATTTATTGCCCTCTAAGGCACAGCCCCTGCTGACCCAGAACACGGAGGAGACTCACCTTGAAACAGAGAGGTTCAGCCAAGGGCCTGCTTAACTGCTCACTGTGACTCTTGCTGTTCCCAGGCCGCCTTTTGAGTCTTGCTTCCTGTGGACTGCTGCTTCCCATGTCTCTTGCTGGTCTCATCAGATGTAAATCCAGAGCAGGATGAGTCCCTGGTTCCTCTCTCCTAACCTGGGGCCATTAATCACAGCTCTGGCCTCCCAGGAGCACTCACTGCGAACCGGTACAGGGACGTCAGCCGGAGAGCAACCCTGGGGCTCTACCCTGCAGGTACTGGATGGTTCAACTCCTCCAACACCAGTAAACCTTCACTGGTTAGCACAGATGCAGAGATCACATTCCTGGCCCCATTTCTTTGTGGTTCAGCTCAGCTACAGAGCTGAGAGATGGCAGAAAGGGAGAGGAAGTTTGGTTTCTTCTTTGCAGCCAGGGATCACAGAATCACAGAATCGCTCGGTTGGAAAAGCCCTCTGAGATCATCACGTCCAACCGTTCCTGTCTACCCCCTAAACCATATCCTTAAGTACCTCGTCTACCCGCTCCTTAAACACATCCAGGGATGGTGACTCCACCACCTCCCTGGGCAGCCTGTTCCAGCTTCTGACGACCCTCTCAGTAAAGAACTTCCTCCTTATCTCTGACCTGAACCTCCCTTGGCACAGCTTGGTGCCGTTTCCCCTTGTTCTATCCCCCATCACCTGGGAGAAGAGCCCAGCACCCACCTCTCTACAAGCTCCCTTGAGGCAGTTGTAGGTGGTGATGAGGTCTCCCCTCAGCCTTCTCTTCTCCAGGCTAAACAAGCCCAGTTCCCTCAGCCGCTCCTCATCAGGCTTGTTCTCCAGAGCCCTCCCCATCCTTGTGGCTCTTCTCTGAACACGCTCCAGAATCTCAACATCCTTCTTATGCTCCATGGGCCCTAAACCTACCCCTGTTTCCCCACCCGCCTGCTGAAGGAGAGACAAGGTGGCACAATGAGCTTTCCCATCCGAAACCAGGCATTTGCCTTCTTTATCATGTCTCACAATCAAATAAGAATTCCCAGATCCCAGCATCGTCCCCATCCAGCCAAGCCACCATTCGACCTCTCCTGCAGCGGAGCGGCAGCCTCCCGCACAGCAAGCACAATGGTCCAACTCCCCACGCTCACGAGCTGCTTGCCCCAACCCTTTCCTCGTCACCCTCAGGAGCACCTTGTACTTTGGCATAGGGTAACAAGAGGAACAACAGCAACCACGCTAACCCAGGCTTTATTTACCAACCCCTGCTCAGCCTTGTTGAAGCGTTAGATCTCTATGATGCTCCAGCAAAAAATGGGCGTCTCTATTTCAGGCTTTGGTTGAGGCTGGAAGCTTGCAAGTGAGAAATATTTACCTAGAAAACTCCTAACCTCTCTTTTGCTGCAGCACCGAAAGCACCGCAGTAATGTTTTACAGGCACAGAGAAAGCAAGCCATCATCCTAGCCAGGCGTGGAGAAGGACAGGTTATTAAATGTACCTTTAAAAGTCTCCCCTCAGTACCAGTTCTGTTATGCAGAGCTGTGCCATCTCACTGCAGGTGAAGCATGAGTCAGAACACTGTAAAGCTGTTTTTGAAGGATGTCTCAGACCTACAGCTGTATCCCGGTGACAAATTTGAAGACACATCCACTGTTGACACAAATCACGGTGATGCGCTGAGCTGCAGACCACAGCACAGAGAGGAAACGAGCGAGGGGGGGGTATTTTTAAAGATCTATGCCCTGGGATGGTGGTAGGAAGAAGATCATCTGTTGTTTATTTTGGGCCTAGAAAATCAAGTGTGCTCGTTGTAAATGTGGGTTTTTCCTCAGAGAAGATGTTTTAGACACAGATAAAATTTTCAAAGGACCAGAGAAAGACCACATCTGTCTTAAATTTCAGCCTGTAGCTGTATCTTGGGGACTGCTTTGCAGGTTCGCCCGCCTGATCCTGCTCTGCTGGCAGAGGAACGAAAGCAGCAATGAGCAGATGCCGTGTTACCCCACTGCGCCCTAGGAGCAGCGCTTGCTTTTCTGTAGCTTTCTGCTCCAAGGCTGCGGCCTTTTTTTGTATTTCTCTTTTCAATGTAAACACATCCCAGCCCCACGGCTGCGCCCAACCTGGAGGACACCAAGGCTCGGAGGTGACAACGCAGGAAGCACCCTGAGGTCTCCAGTGCTGCTGGGTGCCAAGACTTCACGGTCTGCAGATGAACTCATCGGACCAGCTGAGGCAGTGCTGGACGCCGTCCCGGCACAGCCTCCTGGGGACGCAGGAGCAGTACTCGTAGTGCACCGGGCTGCAGCTCCACCACTCCAACCCACACTGGGGGCAGGCGGCCGCTGGGAGGGATGGGAAACAGGGAACAGCAATGCTGCTACTGCACTGAGCCCTCCCCTCCTTTCCTACGTGAATAGCCACCCCTGCACCCCTGGCAGCTGCCGAAAAGCCACTGGTGATGACTCCTGTGTCTGTGAACCCACCGAAGAGGGCACTCGCTTGGTGCTACTTGTGAGAGGCAACCAGGGAGCCTGGCGCTGTGATGACCTTCGGGGCAGACGTGGCATGCTGAGAGGAACACCTGGCTGTAATGCAGTAATTTAGCTGTAATTTGGGTTTTTAACAAGCTACTCTTGTACAGGCAGGTCTCACCTAGGGTTCAAAACCCAGGGAGTGACTTGGGAACAAATCTGCTGCTCAGTTCTAGCGAGATAAGGATCTGGATGGCTTTGAAGCTGCTGAGGCATGCTCGGTCCCCCTGGATCAGGCACCTACCCGTCCTGATCAACCACCAAAGGCCAGTTCGAATGATCACTGCTGCCCGCAGCTACAAATCCCAAAAAAACTGCTCAACACCCAGCAAGCTGCAGAGGAGGAGTGACTTTTGGGGCTGGGAGCAAAGCACAGAGCCTTTCCTCTCTCATTTCCCACCAGGCTTTGACACAGCTGACAGCTAAGAGCCCACATGGGTCATACTCACATCCTATCGCAGCTAATTTGTGCTTTAGCGGTGGCTGCCAGCAGCACCAGTGAGCACCACACCTCTACAGCCAATTTCAACCCAGCAGCAGCAAAGACGTTTTGCCCAACAAGCAGCCAGAAGAGACACTCACAGCTCCCCATCTCGTCAGAGCAGTCTCCGCAGTCATTCATCCCGTTACACCTCTGATCGGCGTAGACCCAGTACGTGGGGTCACTGCAGCGGAAAACCAGGAATCCCGGAAGGCTGCGGGGCAAGTCACCTGCGAGGGCACAGGACACACAGGACACACGCTCAGCTCCACTGGGCACAGAGGCACCAAATGCTACCAAATGCTGCTGTCAGAGGAGGTGGCTCGGTCCCAGCGGCGCTGGGACACAAACGATGCCGCAGACGGGGAAGCTGCAGTTGGAGAGGGCAAGGGATGCTTGTGGCTGAGCTGGAAGCAAAGTCTGGGTGCTCCAGGCTTTTGCTTGAATGAGTTTTTTTTCCAGGGTAACTGGACCTACCAGGTTTATCTGCTCTCGTATGCCATGAGGAGCACGGAGCAGGACCAGATGGACACCAGCTGCTCTGTCTCCCAGCAGGAAGGACCAGTGTGTGGAGAATGGTCACAACAAAGCCACTCACCACAGAGCTCCTCCAGCTCATCCTCTCCACCCGTGCAGTGGCCGACTCCATCGCAGACCTGGCTGGCCAGGATGCAGGTCGCTCTGTCATCGCACAAGAAGCCGGTCCGGTTATTGGAGGCTGCGCAGAAGCGGCTCGCTGAAGGGAAAGCCAGAAATCCTTTATTCTCCAACATTTTGATGGTATAAGGAACAGATCAAGGGGAAGAAAGGGGGATTTGTGAAATTCATTTGTTGTTCTGGAAATAACCAGGATTAATTTAAAAGGGTGAGTGTCACGAGGATGGAGCCAGGCTCTTCTCGGTGACAAACAATGATAGGACAAGGGGTAACGGACACAAACTGGAACACAGGAGGTTCCACTTCAATTGGAGAAGAAACTTCTTCTCAGTGAGGGTGACAGAGCCCTGGCCCAGGCTGCCCAGAGAGGTTGTGGAGTCTCCTTCTCTGCAGACATTCAAAACCCGCCTGGACGCCTTCCTGTGTAACCTCATCTGGGTGTTCCTGCTCCGGCAGGGGGATTGGACTGGATGAGCTTTGGAGGTCCCTTCCAATCCCTAACTGGGATTCTGTGATTTCTGGTAGGTTCAAGGCAGAGTCTGAAGACCACCCTGGTAGTCTGAAGCATGGCCATGGTATCCCGAGTTACCACAGCTCTATGGACCGGAGCAGAGGGATGGCCTGTGGCAACTCGGGCTGTGCAAGGCCAGCACAACCCTGCATCGCTCCACCGGTGCCCTTCCTCCCCCCTGGTCTGCACCGGGAAGTGCTGCTTCGCACGGGACACGAAGGCTCTTCTCACACACCATTTTCTGCCACCCTCATCAAAAAACCCATCAACTCTCAGGTAGACCAACCTGGTGCCCGCAGCAGGAGTCCCAGTGCCACTGCCAAGGCCACAGCAGCCACGAGGACGAGCAGCGCCACAGCAGAGATGCAGCCGTGTCTCCGTGTGCAGCCCGCAGGGGCGCAGCAGGGCTGGCAGCGGCCTGTTGGGAGGGAAAAACAAGAGGTGGGGGGCTGGGGAAGGGGGTCAGGGTGGTCTGGGGGGGAATGGCGTAGAGTCACGAGGGGAATGTTTTGGGAGGGCTCTGCATGCAGGCCTGGCAGGTGGCTGCTGGGGTTTGGGGTTTGATAGCTGTATTTTAATAGCCAAATGCTGAGGTCAAAGACGTCCTCATAGGGAATTCCATAGCTTGGAGCGTGGAGGAGCCCGTGCTGCTGTTACAGAGCGGGCGCTGGGACTGAATGGCACAAACCCTGCGACTCTGTCGGAGCTCACCCAGTGCACTCGACGTGGGAGGGTGGAAAAGGCCAAGGCCCTGCCCGGCCTCACAGAACAGCAGTGGCCTTGCCATCGGCAGAGCAGCCAAAACACAAGGCAGGTCGGTGTAAGACAGGGAAAGGTGCCCTCCCAGAGCCCACGGCAAAGCTCCCCAGCAGACAGAATTTCATGTTACAGTGCTTCAGGCATTCTGCCCCAACCAGGACAATCAGTCTTTAATCCTCCCACAGAGTGAGGCTGAATTACCTGGGGGTCCTGGTGGCCAGCAGGATGACCATGAGCCAGCACTGTGCCCTTGTGGACAAGAAGGCCAATGCCCTCCTGGGGGGCATCAGGAGGGGGGTGGTTGTAGGGCAGAGAGGTTCTCCTGCCCCTCTACTCTGCCCTGGTGAGACCGCATCTGGAATATTGTGTCCAGTTCTGGGCCCTCAGTTCAAGAAGGACAGGAACTGCTGGAGAGAGTCCAGCGTAGGGCTACAAAGATGATGGAGGGAGTGGAGCATCTCCCTTCTGAGGAGCGGCTGAGGGAGCTGGGGCTCTTTAGTTTGCAGAAGAGGAGACTGAGGGGAGACCTCATTCATGGTTATAAATATTTAAAGGGCGAGTGTCACGAGGATGGAGCCAGGCTCTTCTCGGTGACAAACAATGATAGGACAAGGGGTAACGGGCACAAACTGGAACACAGGAGGTTCCACTTCAATTGGAGAAGAAACTTCTTCTCAGTGAGGGTGACAGAGCCCTGGCCCAGGCTGCCCAGAGAGGTTGTGGAGTCTCCTTCTCTGCAGACATTCAAACCCCGCCTGGACGCCTTCCTGTGCAACCTCATCTGGGTGTTCCTGCTCCGGCAGGGGGATTGGACTGGGTGAGCTTTGGAGGGCCCTTCCAATCCCTGACGGTCTGGGATTCTGTGAATTAGCCCAAAAGAGAGAGAACTGGCCAAAGAGCAGCCCTTTCCCTCCCCAAAGACATCTGCAGGGTACAAAGGGCAGCAACCTTCCAAGGAGTCCAACTTTCTGAAAGCCACATACGGAAATCAAGCCAAACCTGGAAGCAAAATGCCAAACCCGCAGCCACTGCAGCACAATGGCAGCAGCACAGGTAAGAGCAATGCCCATCAGCTGCCCTTGGCCCGGCTCCCTGCAGCACCTGTGCTTTGTCCCTAAACCAACACCGCATTCCTTTGCATTTCCAGACCACCAGAACAAACATTAAATCCGAGAAACACAGAAATGATCACTCAAGACAACCCCGCGTGTCTAACTGGATTTCTGCATTTCTGGACCTAAAGAGCTTTAGCGTTGGTCTCAGCTGCGCTCCGTGTTTACTCAGTTGTGGTGCTGCACAAACCCAGCGAAGGCACGGCCTTGGGATCCTGGCTGCAGGAACCACCCCCTGTGCCATGCTTGAGAGGGCAGCAAACACAGAACATCTCAGCTTGAAAGGAAACGGGTGAATTACAGCCTGCGTGTGTGTCTACACGACAAGACCTTCAACCAGCAAGCACAACGGTTGCAAACAGACACGAGTCTGAAACAATGGCGATGGTGAAATGCTGCTGCAACTTGACCTACAGGTTTGCTGTCGATAGTTTGTTCTTACTTTTTCCTTCTTAATATGGACAAAATTTGCTGAAGTTTGGCTATTACTTATCATGCTACTACACCGTACGACTGCCAACTCCTGGCCAACAAAGAACAGCTTCAGTTTATTAATTTTACAGGCTGGATGTTTCACACAGAGGCAGGGGAAAAACAAAATCCGTCTTAACAGACCATAAACACCGGTCGTATTTTATATTACATAGCCAGTTTCAATTGATTTATACTTTAATAATAAAAAATGTTAAGCTCTGCGTTTTATTTGTTACCTCTTTCTTCAGAGAAGGACTTTGTTGACTCAAAGGTGGCCACATTACCATTTATCTGGAAGGGAAGGAATAAGAAAGGCTGTTTACAGAAGCAGCACGCAGTAACCACACAAGGTTATGCCTTCCTAGGTCTCGTACCACCTTACCCAGGAATATGTAACTACTGCACTATTTTTACTTCTAAGCAAAAATCCTCAGTGGAAACGTGGCCCAGATTTAATTCACAACGCGATCGCTCAGATCACCTTTTAAATTCCAGTCGCCCATTTGTAAATCAAACACTAATGCAAGTCCAGTGCCTTCTATCAACACTTTCCTTTTATATCAAACTGGGTTAAGTAGAAACAAGTCCAAATCTCACAGAAACCAGTGATAAAGAGGTCAGACAAACAACGTTACCGAGAGCACACGTGCTTTAGGAAACAGCTGCACCTAAGATTTCCCCAAAGAGAACGACTGTACCTGCGGGTGAGTTTTGTTCATGCCTCCCAGAGCTGCAGCCCGCACAGCAGCGCAAAGGACCGGAGGAGCTTTCTGCACCCGACAGGAGCGACGTTTCCAGGATACAAACCCCAACAGAGGCAGGAGAGCGAGGAGGGTGCTGCTGACTGGGCACGGAGCAGGAGAGGACGGAGGAGTCAGCGCCGAGGCTGTGCTCCGGTCAGAAGCAGGGTTTCCAGTTTGCTTCTCATTCCTCCTGGCTTCATCTTGGTTTCGTGACGAAGCGTTAAGACAAATCATAAAGGACGGGGAGATTTTGGGTGCTCAGAACCCCGCTCCTGACACCGGCTCAGCAGAGGAACGCTCACCTCCAGCTGCTGCCAACCGCATTTACCCTGGTGCCAGTCAGGAAGAACCCAGCTCCATGATGAAAGCTTGAGGGGAAGAAAGCCATCCGAAGAGGAGTCAAAAGTCTCATCGTCTTCACACAAGTCTCCTTTCTCTCCACCCTCTCCCCAAGACAGAGCTGACACAGACCTTACCCAAACCTCTGCAAGGTGATCAGGTCCCAGCAGAGCGGTGCAGGATACCTGCATCTGGAACAGCTTCCCTGCTTGGGCAATGAGCACAGGCACAGCAAATCCTCCAGGATCCTCTCTTTTACTCGCACACTTGAATTTCCAGGCCTGCAGAAAGGCTCAGTGGCTCAGCCCGTAGCTAACACAGATTGCAGCCTCCTAAACTGGCTGCAGGCTTCAGCGCTGGACACGCTGGGGAGTTTTGTGGCTTCAAGAATAAAATGCCACAAGCAGGCTGCTTTGCCATGGGGCAGAGGGGAGAAAAAAAGTGCTGGCATAAGGAGTTTGCTTGCAGCAGGGTCCAGAGGATTCAATTTGGAGCTTTCAGAGCCGATTTGTCCAAAGGAGAAGTTTCTCACAGGAAGACATCACTGGTAAACTTGGTGCTAGACAGCTCCCGTGTTCTGAGGGGGATTCGGGGTGAAAACACCAAACCCCAAGGAGCAAACAGCCTACAAGCCTGGGCACCCGCTGCAACACGGGAGAATGACAGGCTAAAGGTTAATACTCGTGCATCTTAAATTCTGGATATATCTTTAAAAAGGAAGTTTAAGATTCTAATTGGCCTGGATACAGAAGGGCTATTTTGAGCCTTCAAAAAGCTTGTTAGGTGACTGAGTTTGCCAAGAGTTCCTTGTAGGAGCCAGGCCAGCACGCAAGCTGTCCACACCCCATGAAACAATCCCTGATGAACACATCTGAAGTGTGGAGTGAAACCACTCGTAGAGGCAAACGTCTGTAAGACCTGACGTGTACCACCCCCTTTCCTACGCCAGGGTTATTCAGCTCAGCTGTAGCCAACCAGGCCGTTGGGTTTTAGAGCAGTTACCCCACAGCAAAGGCCGCTAGTTCAGAAAAAGGGAGTTTGAGTAACAAACATAAGCAAGGCCTTCTGAAATAAAAACAAAATTAAAATAAAAAAAGACCTTTGCCAAAGATCAGAGGAGCTGAAGAGGGAACACAGATGAAGATGTTCAGTATGATAGGAGGCTGTTGTTAATTCTAGCAGCTAAAAAAAATCCCCGAGTCCCCCTAAATGTACCACAGCTTTCTGCCAGTAACGAACTGCACACACTTGAGGGGGCTGCCTCACTTCTGTCAAGACGATTTTATCTAAAATCTGATAAAAGTTCACTTGAATGCATGCCTAAAGAGAATATAAAATGCTTTCCTCCCACAGTTTCAATAATTTAAGGCTCTTCATTTAAACGGTGGTCTTGGGCAGAGATCAAACCCAAACTGCAGCCTCTGAAAAATGAAGATGTCAGGAAGTCAAACATTTAACAAAAAAATGAGAAGGACAAGCCATTCTGCAAAGTCAAACACCAAGACAGCTTCAAGACTCCATTTACTTTAGAAATCTTGACAAACAGTTCAGCTACTGCAGCCTGTATTTGGGATTTTAGCATCTGATTTTACCGAAGGAAGATACTTGACGAGAGCTCACAAGCACAACACTCAAACCCTCCAGGCTCTGGCTCACTCTGGGAACAGCGGTGCCAAGTGACAGATTGCCACGGGCGACCCAGCAGCACATCACTGAATCCCTGCCTTCACCCCACGGATCACTGGGCTGAAGTATCATCGAGCAGTGACCAAAAATCAAACCATGTAAGACTTCTGTGGCGTTTTCTCCCCTTGTTGCAGGCAGATGCAATGCCAAACGGAAGCAGAAGCCGCTTGTTTAACTCAGACCTAGGAGCGTAAGCAGCAAAGTCAAACGTTTTGGAAGAGGAAGGTTTGTGAGATCAAGCTATTGACACGACAGAGCCTGTGCTGCGTGCATCTGACACAGGCAAATCTGTAACTCTCCAACCTTGCAACTCTGTGTAACAGCAAAGGAAAACATTTACCAGAATTGAAAACATTTACACGTTAAGTTAGAAAAACTGGGATTGCTAAAATCTCTCCTGGAAAGGCAACCCCGAGCGCCACAGCGCGAAGAACACAAGCGATAATCGCTGGAGAAGAGCACGGATTTCCTGACTCATTTTTGAACGTCTGTTGCACAAAGCACACTTGAGACTGCTCACATCCTGCAGCAGCGCAGGGCTGCACGCCGAGGTTCGCTCTGTGCGAGCAGAAACACACGTCTCAGCTGAATCACTGCCACAGACAGAGGGATTTCCTGCCCCTGCTCCTGTGCAAGTAAACACTGTTCCAAAAACATCGCACCGTTGATCTGCACAACAAGCACACCTGAGCTCTTTGCAGTAGTGTCACCTGCACACAAAGGTACCTGGCAATGGCTGCGAGCACCCGAATTTCTGGACTACCGTGTTGTCCCACTGAAGAACTCAGCACAAAGGGGTACTACCAATTTAAGGTTTCAAACTGCAATTTCTGCACCTTGATGCAAGCCTGCTTCAAACAAACGTTGCTGAATGCTCTTCAAGCTCATTGACAAACAAACTGCTGGAGCGCTTCTAGGCCGGGGTTTTCTGCAGCACAGTACAGGGCACTTAATGCACATTC